CAAAATAGAACTTGAGGGAACATTATGTAAAAATCACTTCTTGTTTCAATTCTCTCAAAATCCCGGAGCCCCATATCAAGTAGAGACTCCATATGAGGGATGATGTTCAGAGCAATGTTTAAAGCACAAGCATTTGCTGTAATAATGGTCATTCTTTATTCACCTTTCATAACATCCTATTGTAATTCCCCCACCATGCTTGTGCTGAGCCATAACAAGGCTCTGTCAGTGATCCAACAAATGTGCAGGAGTTGGAGTCCATGTGGAATTCAAGATGTTAATATTTCCTTTCTGACCAAATGAACTCCACATGTTTTCTGCTGCGACGAATCTCCTTCCTGTGGAATTAGGCATGGTCTGACTCATTCTTTATTTTTCGAGCACAACAATTTAATCCAGAGTAGTCCTCATTTCACATAGCCTTGGGCTCTTGGTCCATCTATGTGTGTTGGCTTCACTGCTGAGCTTCACAGCAAAGGTGTGGAATTATAAGAGAAAGAGCTCTCAGCATCCATGTTCGCCATGTTCGGGGTAAAGGGCCTTGGCCAGTGGCCTCATCAAAAAAGGCTCTAGGTAGCATGAGTCTGGAGAGAAACAATTGCTATGATATCTATGATTTGTAGGTTTGATGAAATACTCCAGAACAGAACTTTAAGACTTACAAAAGTAATTTCCTGTACATTAGACTTGGTCCTTACATATGGTATGGTTAAATATAAACAACAAGAAAGTGGAACTCCAGTTTGAAGATAAGGAGATGTTCGTGCAGCAGACAACACAGCAAAGATTCAAAGCCAGTGCTTCAGATCCACAGTTGATGCTTTAAAATGACCCATCTTCATTATTGCTTTTCAAAGCAGCTTGTTGCAGAGGACACTAGAGCACTGATCTCTTTAAGTTATGAACCAAAGTTCTGAAAACTGAAATGTTTGATAAGTCTAAAAAGTTTAGACAGCAACAGTTTTATCTACTTCCAACTCAGATCTCAGTTTCCTTGGTCATGAACCTATCATTGTTTCCATCATTCAGTTCATTCACTTAAGGAACTTAGCTGAAGCCCATCTCAGAAATCTATAGACCTTATAAGTAGTGGGAAAATATGGCAGAAGGGAGACAATTGAGAGACATGTATTTGAAGGACAGAATCGTGCACTGATTATTTTTGCAGCCATCTTTTCTAACACAGTATCTCAAACATGGTGATCCTAAGTATTTAATGGCATTCAACGAATGGCTAACTGGTTAGAGGATTTAAGAACCATTTATTGATTTTCCATTTGTTTTTATAGTAAAAAATTTTACTGTGAGTGTATAATGATATTTCCCAGTCAGTTGGGAGAATGTTCAACTGAACTTGAAGGACAAGCTTGCTGAACAGCAAAAAGAAAGAATTCCTCTGGTCAGAGAAGCAGCACATGTTGTTGGCAAATGACAGACCTCTTGATACAGCCAGGGCACAGAGGATTAAGGATAAGGTGGCAGCTGAGTAGGTAACAGGAATGTGGCCTACAAGCTGCCTATGTTTCTCTATGTCACAAGCAATCACTTAAGATGCCTGACGGTGCATGACTTGACTATACCTACATATTGAAAAGTTTGTGTGCCAGATAGTGGAAGGGTAAGGAATGTCTGGGTGGAAAAATTTAGGAAAAACTGCAGGTCTGAACTCAGGTCAATGGCTTTAGTGATTGAGAGGCTCCTCAAGATGTCTTCATATGGTCCCATACCAAAGAATAGCCTAGTAGATTTATGATTTTGTTTTTATCAAATATAACAAAACAAATTTGAATGAGAGGGAAGCTAGCAAAAGATTAAAATGAATAATTAATCCTGATAAATAAACCAATACTATGGGAAAATATTCCTACACTGTCTCTAGATGACATTAAGGAAGAACTTAGAGGTACCTAAAATCAGAATAAAAGCACCAGATCCCTGAGTGGGTAAGGTACGAGGACACCAGAAATAAATATTTTCATGGACATGTTCCTGTTTGCTGGCCTGGGAGGAGAGCTCTCTGGTACACTTGATTGCAAAGAAAACAAACAGGCACTGAGCACCACTGTGTACTTTCTCATGTAGATAATGTTCTAAGTACTAAATGATACTCATGATTTATATAATTAGAAGTAAGTTTGAAAAAAATGTTCAATTACTTAAAAGATCATCCTGACATATGAATATTTCATATATTTGTTCACATTCTAAAATATTTATAGTTTTAAGGAAGTCAGATGAAACAAAATCTAAAACACACAAATAAATCATACGTTAACTTTTCAACACTTTTTAAAATCAAAATTCTTATCTAGGTTTATATATTTCCATCTTGTGGCTGTGATTATTGTTCAGCGCCCTATAGCAGCCTTAAAACTATGCTCTAGGACCGGAACCTGCCTTAACTTAATGTACCAGGCTCTCCTGACACCCCATAGGAGACATTGCCTTGGAAGAGGTGGAAATGGGGGTGGGGGTTGGGGAAAATGCTGAGGGGCAGGAGGAGGGTGGAGAGGGGAATCTGTGGTTGGTATGTAAAATGAATAGAAAATCTCTTAATAATAATAAGAAAGAGAAAAAACTACTCTCTAAATGCCTTTCAGTTGAGTTTTATGCTTCCAATAATGATGAAGTTTACAGACATTGAAAAGGAAGCGCTGTTGGAACTAAACCAAACAAATAAATAAAGATCCCTTTTATTATTTTATCACATGATGGCTATACCATATCTATTTCTGCAAGCCACAGCTTCACTTGGAACGACTCAGGGGATGTGATTTCCACTTTTTTACCAATTTTGATCCTCTGATAATGTGACTATACCAGATGTTCATCCCTCATTCAGTTCTTGATCTGATTCCCTTCAGTGATAGACTCTTACCAAGGAGTGTAAGCTGAAAAAACCCTTTGGTACCACACAAGATTGATAAGTATTTCATTACAGCAATATAAAACAGATGAATATAGGATTGAATCCCTAGCTAGTGACCAGTTAATGTACCTTAGACCAGAGGAAATCTGAGATGTCTGATACTCTGGAGTTCATAAAATCTGTCTACCTGAAATAGGAACACAGGTACAAGGAGGCCTACAAGTACCTCTTGGCTTTGTGGTCTGATATCTGTCTTCTGACTGCACACCTTACTCCAGTAAAAATGTATCACATTCTCAGGACTGGATTGTTCCTTTTGCTCTGATTTCTGCCTATGAAGATATTTCAAATATGAGCTATTTCCTTAAAGAGGCAGAGATATATTAAGTCATAAGGCCATGCATTTGAAAAAAGAAATCAATTAGTTGGGCTTAATAAGATCTTAATCTAAAAGCATAGGACCTTATAGCTTATATGTTTCCAAAAAATGATTATAAATAAGTCTGAAAAAAAGAACAATATTGTTTCTTTTGTTGTCGAAGGACTTCTGTAAAACATGACTTCAAATGAACAGGGCAGCTATGACCCCTTTATACTGAGTCCCATGGTATCCAGTGATAGAAACATTTGTTCCAAGGCAGCTACCATAAAGGGCACAATGAAAGACAGAAATTCCATGTGCACTACTGATTGCAGATTGCACTTGTAAGCATTCATTGAGACAACTTTGAGTGTATGTGCTAAAAGCCCAAATATTAAGATTAAATATGGTTGTCAAGCTGATAACTAAAGATATGATATGCTTCATTATCTTTTTATCATTTCATTATTGGGTTCCAAAAAGCACAGGATTGCAGACCTAACTCCAGTTATTATCTAAGAAATTACAATCTACATATCTTTACCTGATCTTTAATCAATAAATTTAATTGTCCTATATCATTAGTTCAATTCTAATAAACTTCCTCAATCTTTGTAGGGTATTCAAAAATAATATAGTCAATATAGAAACAAGAATCTTCAGATCCTCTAATCTTCCTTTCTTTTTTATTTCATTAGAATTGCCCAGATACAGACCAGATTAACTGATTAAAACTAGCAATCTTTTCGACTACAATAAAGAACAGTGCTTGAAACTTTATTCGCTCCTCTTGGCTACATGAGTTGTTAATGTTGCTGTGTCCAATAATGATTAAGTCTGCACAACTGAAGGCATGATGTAGACTGTTTCTCTATTTTTATAATCTGTGTGTGTTATATGTCTGTATCTGCTTGTCTGTATGTGCGCTCTATGCATGCAGTGCCTGTGAAAGCCAGAGGGGGCATCAGATCCTGTAGTACAGTACTCACAGGTAGATGTGAGCCACTCAATTTGGGTGCTGGGAACCAAACATGGTTCTTCTACAAGAGCAGCAAGTGCTCTTAGTCAATGAGCCATCTCTCCAGCCCCTAGGCTAGCTTTTAAAAGTGGATTTATTATTTTAAATACATTATAATTATATAAAAATATGTGCTTTGAGCATGGTATCCAAATACCTCACTAACTTCCTTCCCTTTGTTAGACCTCTTTATTGTCCTAGACAGTTTAATTTCTACTTTCATGTCATCTGTTTGTATATGAGTTTATGTCTATATAAAATCTGTAATCCACAAATAAACATACAGTATTTGTCTTTATGAGATTGTCTTAATATGATTATCTGCAATTATGCCCTTTTTCCTGAAAATAATGTAAGTCTCCTTTAAGACTGAAAACTGTGTGTATGTCTGTGTATGTGTATGATTGTGTGTCAGTGTGTGTGTCTGTGTATGTGTCTGTGTGTGTCTCTGGGTGTGTCTGTGTCTTTATCTGTGTATATGTGTGTATTTGTTCACTTCTGTGTGTGTATGTGTGTGTATGTGGTCCACATTTCCTCTTTATCCCCTCTCCTGATAAATCTCTAGGTTGGTTTCATAACTTTGCTAGGTAGCTGCTGTGAATTGGGCTTCGTGGGAACTATTACCAAGGTCTCTCTGAGATTCCTTCATGGGGCATCTTTCAGGTAAACATTTATTTGGATCATACAGTAGTTCTTTTAATTTTCTAAAGAATTGCCATACTGATTTCCATAATGGAGGACTAGTTTTATTCTCGATTAGTCAGAAATCAGCCTTCCATACTACAATACTTACAGAGATAAATTTTTAAACACATCGTAAGAAATTGCCCAGTCTGGAAACGAAGCTTTTTGACACCACACATGCCAAACAATAACCTGACAAAAAAGATGCTCACTGATATTTATAATATAATTATTACAATATAATATAAATTTTCTTAATACAAAGCTAAAATGTAATTTCTTTTCATATGGCCCTGGCTTGTCTCCTTTGAAGTTCTTGATTTCTTGCCTTTCCTCTTCCTTCTTTCATCTTGCTCCAAGTATTTTTTCTGTAAATAAACATGACAAAAGGGACACATTACTTAGGACAAGGCTTTCAGTTGACGCTGCTTGCATGACAGTCATAGACCAGAATGTCTCATGATGAAGAACATCCGAATTGCTGTCATGTCCAGAACGGATGTTAAGTCACATGAGATGATGCTGGCTCAGGAGGACAAATACTAGGATTCCCCTGTGTCCTTAGGCTAGCTATGAGGCTGTGATACTCTGCCAACAGATGTCTTTAAGGTTGGCAGCAAATCTATTTTAATCCCCAGCCTGAAACTTCAATACCATAGAAATGTAACCTCTTCAGTTTCTCAGAGCATTAACTTCCCCATCTCTAAAGCAAGATTAATACATTTTAAGGTAGCATAAGCTCATTACCACTGTGAAAACTGTAAACGTCAGAGAAAGTTTGTTCAGATTTTGGGGGGGGGGGTTTGTTCATTTTGTTTTTATGACAGTTCTGTCATCATCTCTTGAAAAGTGTACTTCTGTGTGCAAGCAATGGAAAGACAAGAGCTCTGTCCTCAGATGGTAAGTCTCACATGGATGGAGACTTAATTTAGCTGATTACTAGCATCTCATTAAATACTTTAAGGTATGTGAAATATATTTTCAACTTTTCTCTTTAAATTTTTTAATTGTATGTGTGTATGCCTGAGCAAATTTTATGTGTGCTACTTGCATGTAAAGGCCTATGGATGCTGGAAGAGGACAGTAGAACTAGAATTACAGATGATTATGAGCTGCAATGTGAGTATATGGGCTTGTGAGTATGGGACCTGAATAAGAGCAGTAAGTGCTCTCCAGACTCCAAAGTAGAAAATTTTGAAGATGTCCTGATCATTTCCCAAACAATCATGACTCTCTTCCTATCTGGTTGTCAAGTAAGGCATCTTAAGAAAAAACAGATCAGGAATGTAGATGTATATACATATGGTAAAGGCTGTTCTATTCTTCATCTTTGAGCCCTCATTGGATGGTAAATTGAAGCCTCTGGTTTTGCCTTTAAGTCAGAAAGGCATCCCTTAAACACTGTACTCAGATTAAGAACTTCACGTTTTAAATATTAAAAATATAAGGCTGTGGTGGTACACTTGAATAAAAGGAAACCATTTGCTTGAGTCTTTTCACTTAACCCAGCACAGCATGAGAGGAGAAAAGCCATTAAAGTTTAAGAGGTAACTCTGCAACTGAGCGGTGGTGGTGCATGCCTTTAATTCCAGCACTCGGGAGGCAGAGCCAGGCAGCTCTCTGTGAGTTCAAGGTCAGCCTGGTCTAGAGAGCGAGAGCCAGGATAGGCACCATACAGAGAAACCATGTACAGAAAAGGAGTGGCATTGGGGGTTACCAAACCTGAACTTCTCATTTTGAAACAAATAACAGTGATTTCAAACACTAGGAAGACCCAGTAGCAGTCATATTTGAGTAGTATCTCCGAACTTATACAACCAGACTAATTTCCTTCCTTGGATGTAAGATGGGGAGAGAGAAAGCATTTGGGAGAGATAGGTGAGCATGTGTAAGTCATAGTTGGAGAAAGTGGCTATAAGTCATGGCCCTAGAAGCATCTGATGCTGGAATAATTCATTAGCTGCTAAACTCACACCACTTTATATGAGCTCTACTACATGACAAAAATTCATTTTTGTTGAATAATACTAAAACCAAAGTAAACTGTGTGTTGAAGTTCAGTATAGGCGTCAACTGGGAAGAGTTTTAGATGCTGTCTGGAATAGCAGAGAACTAAATTTGACAAGCACACAAACTAATATCATGACATATGTGGAAAGTGAGCTCATAAGAAAATGCAAGATACAAAAAAAAAAGAAAATGCAAGATACACTAAGAATTAATGATAGATATTCAGAAAATGAAACATTCCAGATAGTTACAAAAGAAGTAATGGCATTGTCTTCATAGATTTGGACCTGAGGTGATTAAATGGAATAGTTCTGAGTTGTAGGGGTCCAGCAAGGAACGAGATAAATAGAATTTTTATTTTCAGAAATGGCCAGGTATCTGAGCAGTGGTCATAAATCCAGAGATATACCACTCAGTGTTATGTTGAGGAAACTTTCCTCAGTAAACTTAAGACATTCACACAAATTTCCCTGAACTAACTACATTTTTATGCTTTCCCTCCACCATCAAATCTTCGTCCTTACCAATCCCTGAGCCTCTGTGCCTTGTTCTGCTTTTCATCTGCAGAGAACAAGTGACAAGAAGGGCTGGCCTCGGAGTTCCAATTCCCTTTCACCAACCCCAGACATTTAAGTCTGTAAACATCACTAGGCATCCCTCTGGAGAACAAAAGCTCTCTGTGGACCAGACTTTGATCGTACCTCTGTTACGGGGCTGAGCACTTTAGAAGATCCTAGTTCAGGTACTCAACTGACCATCAGCACATGATGAGAGATGGCAAAAGTCCAATATTGAGATTATTTTTTCCAGTGATTTATTTGCAGAGTTGATTCCACCTCTACAGCCTCTGGCACTGGGAGACTACAGAGCTCAGTTTCCTTTGCTAAAGAGAAAAGCACAAAAGGACAAGGAATGATTGTGATGGTTTTAATGATAAAGTCCCCCAAATCTCAGGTGTATGAATACTTGGTCCCCAGGTGGTGGTAGTGTTTGGGGAGATTTAGTAGGTATGGCCTTCACTCTGTAAAAAGTATATCTTTGGGGAAGGGGACCTTAGAGGTTGAAAAATCCTAGCACTGTTTTTAGCTTGCTCTGAGCTTCCTGTTATAGCCATCATGCCTGCTTCTTCTTGCTGCCATGCTTTCCTACCATGACAGCCTCTGATCTGTGTAAGGAAATAAACCCTTCCTTCTACAAGTTGCCTTGGTCATGGTAACTTATCACAACAATAGAAAAGTAAACTAATACAGTGGTGTACCTGTTCACACTCGTGCCACCACCTCTCAGAAAGCAAGGAGATAAGGTTTTGATCACTATACTGGTGACAGAATGCAGTCATGACTACTATGAGTATCTAGACTTATTAATACAGCATCATTCCAAATTACTCACTATTCAGGTAAGGTAGTGGCTTAGTTAGAGTTTCTATTGCCATGATAAAATACCATGGCCAAAAGCAGCTTGAGAAGGAATAGGTTTATCTCATCAGGCAACTCTCAGGTCATGCTCCAGCACTGAGAGAAATCGGAGCAAAAATTCAAGGCCAAAACCTGGGGCCAGGAACTGATGAAGAAGCCATTGTGTAGTGATACATACTGGATTACTCTTCATGGCTTGCTCAACCTGATCTCTTATACAACATAGGACCACCTAACCAGAGGTGGCACCTAGTGATCTGGGTCCTCCTACATCAATCATTAATCAGGAAAATACACCGCAGACTTGCTTATAAGCAATCTGATGGAGACATTGAAGTCCTTCTTCCCAGATAACTCTAGCTTGTGTTGGTTTTTTTAAAGGCAGATTATTATGCAAATGAGTAGAAATAAGCAACATAGAGCACTCAGGTTGTACACACTGCATATATTCCATCAACTACTTGTTTTGGTATCAGTTTAATTTAACTAGAGAAGTTCTGAGTGCTAATACTGATTGTAAGGAACTCAATGTCTGTGGAACTCCTTAAGAGTCAAAGCAAGTAGATGATGAGAGCCATTATTTTACTGGTATATATACCCATTCTGAACATAATCCATTCTTTCACTGTTGCAGCAAACAACCAATAATTTACATCTCCAATTTCATCTCTCTTCTTCCCACTGAACTAAACAGGTTTGTAAAGTTGTTCTCTGTTCTGAAGCCTGAATTAATTCATCTTTTTACTGATTGAGTTTCACCACCATGCTGTTGGTAGGAATATGAATTGGCCCAGCCATTGTGGAAATCAGTATAGAAGTTCCTCAAAAAAATCAAAAACACCCAACATAAAATTCTTCTTTGTGTGTCCTAGATGCAAGGAAGATTTTAAAGTGTGCATAAAGGGAGATATTTGTCTACCCATGTATACCACAGTACCACTTAAAATAAGCAAATTAAAGAATGACCCTAGATGTTAAATAATTGATAAATATATGAAAATAAATGTGGTATGTATTTTTAAGGGTGTACTGTTCAGCCATAAAGAACAAAATGTTGTTTACAGGAAGATGAATGAGACTAGAGATCATTATGAGATCCAGTAAGATAAACCAGAATCAAAGACAAGTATTACATTTGTCTTCTCATATAGAATCTGGGGGAAAAATGGAGACATGAAAGGAGAAGTGAAATGTCAGGGAAGAGTAAAAGGATGGTGAGGAAGCTGACTCGATAAGGAAGGGTGAATATTATTAAAATATTTGTGTGCATGTGTTAGAATGGAACAGTCAACCTAGGTATGGGGTCACATGCCTCTAATGCCACCCCTCCAGAGGTTGATGCAGGAAGACTGTTCCATTTTAGGCCACCATAACTGTACAGTGAAAATGTCTTTAAAAAACTGAGAAAATTTGGAAGGGAAACCCAGTAACTTGTAGATTCAAAATACACTAATATGGTGGATTATGTTTCTATTATTGTTGATATCCAACTTTAATCCATGATGGCCAGATAGGGCTAGGGTGTTATTTCTTCTTTTTTTTATTTGTTAAGACTTTTTTCCCCAGTATGTGATCAATTTTGTAGAAGTTTAAAGCAGTTGTGAACCAGCTCATGCTATTTTTTCATTTGGTTTCCACTTGAGCACTCAGACTCTCTCTTTCTCTCCCCCCTTCTCTCACACACACATAAATAAATAAATAAATAAATAAATAAATAAATAAATAAATAAATAAATAAATAAATAAATAAATAAAAGAAGTTTTTAGGATCCCCAAATGGTAGTATTAGGGTAACCACATACATACTTTGGCCAGTGAGATTTAAGCTTTAAGATCATTGAATGTGGCTTTGTATAAAGCCAACACAAAAGGCGGGCTCATCTGCCATTTGCACTGAACCCTTTGAGTTTAGACCCCTCTCTCTTCCCTTAGAGTGCCCCCAGGCTATGCTGAAGGAAAGATTTTGGGAATAACTGACCAGAAATCTAAAGCTGGTCATTTCACAGACTAGCCTTGAGCACTGCACCTCCAGGCTTTAGTGATGCTAGTGAAAGGGATACAACTTCCATTTCAGCTTCTTCTTATCAATTGCTACATCCACATGCCAAGCAAGCTTTTGATAGAAGCTTATTCTGGTTCATTTAGAATATCTTCTTCATCCTTGATTTATATGTAAAATTTACATAAATTATGAAACAATGTTCTGTCATTACTTCCTATCATGATTCAGTCTTTCAGCATTTAATTTTTTCAGATATGGTGCATAGTTTTAACAGAATTCATTCAAGCAAAAATAAATAATCTTTTTTTTTAATGTCAATTTGAGAGAAAATGTTTGTGTGTTGTTAAATATTTAATGGTGACTATAAGTAATACAGAGAACTTCTGCTTTTCTGTTTCAATTTCTAAACATAAACATTAGTACTTAGTGGTGTTTCCTTTGGGGAGATGGAGTGGATGAGAGGGAAGACATGAAACCACTCATTTACACAGGGATCATGGAGTGATGACTCCAACATGGGGAGGGGACAGAGTGAAGCACAAAAAATTCAAGGAGGCACCACAGAGTTGTGGGATGGTCTGTATGTCAAATTACTCTGATTGGTCAATAAATAAAACACTGATTGGCCAGTGGCCAGGCAGGAAGTACAGGCGGGACTAACAGAGAGAATTGGGACTGGAAGGCAGAGAGAGTCACTGCCAGCCGCCGCCAGGAGAAGCTGTATGTGAAGATGCCGGTAAGCCACGAGCAACATGGCAAGGTATAGATTTATGGGAATGGATTAATTTAAGCTATAAGAACAGTTAGCAAGAAGCCTGCCACGGCCATACAGTTTGTAAGCAATATAAGTCTCTGTGTTTACTTGGTTGGGTCTGAGCAGCTGTATGACTAGCAGGTGACAAAGATTTGTCCTGACTGTGGGCCAGGCAGGAAAACTCAAGCTGCAAAAGTGTGTCATTTTCAATCTTCAAGCCCTTGCTTCAAAGAGCCTGATCATTGTGATTCAAGCACTGTAAAATATGACTTATCCCTTGTCAAAAGACAGCCTCAGAAAAGATATCAAACCAGCAGTAATACTAATTTGATGGTCTCATTCTTCAAGTGCTTTCTGGAAAGATGTGGAACACAAATTGGAAATACTCCCCTGTCCTATGTATTCTTACCCATGAAGTGCTACTCAACATTATAGGCAATTAGTTACAAATATATATGAACCCTCCCTTTCCTTCATCCAGATTATCTCAAAACCTCCATTCTCAAAATAGATAACTTATTTTTCTTTTATTCCTATTGGTACATAAATATAACAACACTCATACATATGCACAAATCCATAACTAGAACCTGATGAGTTCATTGTGTGTGGATATTTCAGAGCTGAGCACTCTGTACTGGGTAACCAATTAAAACAATATAGACTATTGTCATTGCCTTTGGTTGTGTTTCAGAGGTGGAAAATAAGTCCCTACTGCTAAATACGGTGCACATTTAGAACACAGGACTTGGGCAATTCCAGTTGACTCTAACTTGAAATTCTGCATTCTAGCTTTCATAGCAATGGTAATTACTACACACGCCACCAAAGGAGAGAAGCAATTAATAGTCTACCCAGCTGGGACATCAATGAATGACAACAGTGACCAGCAAGGCAAGATAGCACTAAATGTAAAATGGTGTCGCTTGTGTTGTGGTAACCAGCATCTCCCTAATTGGACTTAAGACCCACTCAGCAGAAGAGAAATCATGCTAGAAATCATAGAACATTTCAAGTCACTAAGTCCGAACTAGGAATCAGAAATATTCGTGAGCGAATGCATCTGTCCCTCCAGGTTTTTCCTACAAAATTGTTTCTTAGACCAAAGTTTTCAAAATCATCAGTAGTTTTCTACTATATAGGAAGAAAAACAAGCCAAAGAGCTATGAAACAAACATGTAAGAAAGGCAATGTCAACAATATATATTGAGTATAAAACATACACAGTGAAATAAAAAAGAGCAATCTACGAGTAATTATTTAGGTATATGTTATATTAGAAGACAATACATGAGAAGAACAATAATATATACGAGTCAATTTAAAAGGAAATATGCAAATTAAGCTTATCTCAACAAACATTTGTCAAATGCAGTCCCAGAATATAATAAGTAACAGGCAACTATTTCATAAATGTTACAATATGGAATTTAGGTGTAATTAAGATTTATGACAATCTCCTAGCCATGTGGTTTTATTTTGTGCACATGTGGATTTGTCAACAAGTGGAATAGCAATACATTTTCCTTCAAATTAGAAGCAAGCTATGTAATGGTTTTGTTGTCCAGGGATATCCTTCTATATACTCGACTCTCTAAAGACACTACTGGGCCTCTGGGAAATTTAGGAAAATATACATTCCACAGCCTTGCACAGTGTCATTTTGCTTGTTGCTATTCACCACCTATTTGTTTTTATTCAGATAATTG